GAGCGCGAGAGAGAGAGAAAGGGAGAGAAAGGGAGAAGAGAACGCCAGGGGCTAGGCAAGCACTAGGTGGGTGGGCAGCGTAGTTGAAGCACTGCATTCAGCTAGCACTGGTTCAGGAAATGCATCTCATTCTTGGACCACTGCCCAAATGGCCCCAAAACAATTTCCAGAAGGGTCTGAAGTTGTTGTTTTCTGAGTTGGACTTTGTTCCTAGCAGTAAACTGAGCTCTTCTGCTTCTTAATTGCTCTTAACAGGTGCTCCATGACACATCTTGGGCAAAATAAGTCTTTAGCTGCCTCCAACTGGTATAAATGCCAAGTTGGTAACCCTGGAAGCCAGAGGGGATTGAGATTCTGCTGTTCCCAATCCTGGTATTCTGAGAGCCAGGAGCAAATCAGTAGATGAACTTCACTATTTGCTCGAGCCCCCAGGTGGCACATCCCTCCCAACCTTCCCACTCCCCATCCCTCAAAGCACCTCCTCCCTTGCCAGGCCAGGCAGGCAGATCTTAGTGTCTCCTTGAAGGAACTGGGTCAAATTAGGCAGTGCCAATTGGAGATGCACTGCAGGGGGAGGAGGTATAAGAGAGAGAAGTTAGTTACACAAGACAGGTCTGGCTCAAAGATGTTGGAAGGAAACTAGCTTTATAGCAACACAGATGTCATTTAGTGATACAGGTGAGCACATATGTACTATAAGTTCAGTGAGCTGAATACAAAACAACTAGAAACAGCTAGTCTCCCAATTCAAAAGGAAGTATCTCTGTGAGGAGAGAGGAAAGGTTGGTCATTGTAACCTCTGGAGACAAAGATTTTCTTCCTTGTTCTTTTGAATCCACTTGGCACCATAACAAGAGTCCTCCACAGCCCTGTGTCCCGTCAACTTGATGTCACATGTGAACAGGAATGGGCATCCCTTCCAGATAGAAGATTTCCGACCACACTTCCTGACAAGCAGCAGGTGAGGACCAATCCAAGGTCTGGGTTCTAAAGGCAGGTCAGGCATAGGTATCAGCTATCACTGCTCTCTCCCCAAAAACATTCCCACAGCTCTACTGGTGACAAAAATGTCAGAAAGTCAAGATTTCTCTATGAAGTAGCTCTGAAAGCCTAAAATAAGATGGACAAATAACAAAAGCTCTTCAAGTCCTCCAAGGAATCCTGTTTGATCCAGTGACACTCTAAAATTGGAATTTAAAACATACTCCATGTGGCCTAGAGTGGGTAGAAAGGTAGTGAGGGGGATACTGCTGGGAAAGAGGGTGGAGGTGAAGAGTGGCAAGAATCTATGCCATCCTTTTAATTATTACTCCTGAACTACAACAGGGAGATGTGGAAAATTTTTCTCTGGTCTCCCTTAGGACCTTGGGATCTGAGGTGGAGCCCAGCAACTAACAAGACAGAACTTACCACCTGCCTGGGAGTGAGCAGTTCAGGTGCCACAAGTAGCTCAAACCCACAGCATTACCCTCTCCTGTCTGTGCCTTCCTGGGCTGAATAAGCTGAGCAAAAACATGTTGGAATCTCATAGCTGGCTCTACTCTCTACCAGGGCTTTGCCTAACTGGGGAGGCGAAAGAGGTGGAGGGTGGAGGCAGAGGTGGAATTAGGCATTGTCTGCAACCTGACTGTGCACCCCTTTCAAGGAAACAGACCTTGAAATCGAGCAATTTGCCCCTCTGAAATGATCTTTAGGGACAACTGAGTGACCTCTGAAAGAAACCCACCAACCTTTTCTCAGCTCATGTGTCTGTGTTTACAGCAGAAAGAGCTGCCTCATTTTTTCACCAGGTTGTAAATGGTGACCTTCCGTCTACATATAACACAGATGAAGACAGCTCAACTTCTTATCCAAGTACTTGGGGAGCAGTGCAGAGGGGATGAATTCCCAGGAATGGCCAGGCTCTAAAATAAGAAGGGGTAAGAGCTGGAAACACAACACCTGGGCAGTAGGAAAATATCACCTCATTGTCTCCTTTTAGATCTCAGATGAATGCATCTTTTCTCTTGTTCTTTGTGCTTCCCTGTCCTCCCCAGGTAGACTGCAGAAGAGAGAGAAGGCTAAGGTTTATGGGTGGGAGGAGAAACAATCCTACCCTTCCCATGTCTCATTTCAGGACTTAAGGAATTAAGGAAAGGGTCAAACTAAACAGTTTAAATCACTAGGTGTGATGCACATGAGATGATACTCAATGGGTTTTTTGGGGGGGTATACTGTTTTTTTTGTTTGTTGTTTTTGTTTTTTTGTAGAGGGCAGTGTCACCAGCCCTCATATGTGGGATCCGAACCGGGGCCCTCTGGCGTCCCAAGCCAGTTCTTAACCATCGCGCCACTCGGCCGGCCCTGGGGGGTATACTCTTGAGTATACAATCCCTGTGTTTATAGGAAGGCCCCACAAAGTCACTGCCATTCAGCTGTATGTTTGGGCAGGGTTGGGGAAAGTAGAACAAAGGAGTTCAGTTTGAGTGTTATAATAATCAGTTTTAAAGCCAACAATGTCCAAAACAGGGTTAGCTCCATCAAGTGAAGTTTGAAATTACATGGAAGTCTCAATTAACTATTCTGACTGGGGTAGGATGGCAAAAAGGTGGAAGAGATAGGAACAATTGCCTTTGGTGGCAGTCGTGGCCAGAAGTCTCTAATGCATGCCGATCAAAAGATCTCACTGGTGTTTGTGCCAGAAATACAGGGTCTGACAATTAAGTTTGTGAACTTGTTGCAAAGATGATGCTAACCATTTTTGGTATCAGAGGGATTATTCATTATGAATTTGTACCAGCTGCACAAACAATTAACCAAGTTCACTATTTGGAAGTGCTGAAAAGGCTGCATGAAAAAGATAGACGACCTGAACTTTTCGCCATTTCATGGCTCTTGCATCATGACAATACACCAGCTCACACGGCACTGTCTGTGAGGGAGTTTTAGACAGTAAACAGATAACTGTATTGGAACACCCTCCCTACTCACCTGATCTGGCCCCCATTGACTTCTTTCTTTACCCGAAGGTAAAGGAAATATTGAAAGGAGGGCATTTTGATGATATTCAGGACATCAAGGGTAATACTACGACAGCTGTGATGACCATTCCAGAAAAGAAGAGTTCCAAAATTGCTTTGAAGGGTGGACTAGCTGGCATCGGTGCATAGCTTCCCAAGGGGAGTACTTCAAAGGTGACCGTAGTGATATTCAGCAATGAGGTACAGCACTTTTTCTAGAATGAGTTCGCGAATTTAACTGTCAGACTGCGTATGTTTTCGGGCTCCTCTGCTAACAAAGAACCTTGCTCTGACAATCCTGTTTAGTAAGCCTCTCTTCACGTGGAGGGCCTTGAGGGCAGGGATGCTCTAGGACCTGGGGGATCTTGGAGTTAGAATGGAGCTGAGAGATGATCTCCAATCTCTTGTTTTATAACAGAAGAGGCTAAGCCCGGAATCACCCATTTGGTTAGTGACAGTAGGACAAATAGAACCCAGGTTACCAGTCTGGGGTTCTTTCCACTAGGGCACAAAGTTAAATCCTGCCACATAGCTGGAAGGTTTGGAGCCACCCTGCTTGCTTGCTTTCTTGGGTGATGAAATGAAGCTTTTGGGTCTACATCTTAGTGACTGAAATCCCTGAACTAGAAACACAGGTTTATGGATGGAAAAAGAAATAATCCTCTCCCTCCCATGTTTCTTTTCAGAGATTATAGATAGGCCTGAGGAAAAAGCCAATCCAGATACTCACTAAATATCTCTTCAGGTAGAAACAGGACTTCTTGGCTCAAGGATTATGTCAGCATATGTATTCCATCCAGTAGAGTCTACAAGGTTGATGCTACCTGCCCTGGGCACCGGGGCGCCTGGGCGGGG